ACCCCGCTGCCACACGCATCACCACTGCCCGATTCCGCCCAAGGCCACCGCCACCACGCTGAGCCGTCGCCAGAACCAAGCCGCGCCGCCGCCCGCTTGCCGTCGAGAAAGCCACGTCACCGGAAGCTCGCCGGAGTCACACCGGAACCCTCGCCAGAAGTTCATCAGAAAACACTACCCACCCAAAAATGCCGAAAAAGCCCCTCGGAACCCGCACCCCGGAATAGAGTAGCACCGACTACACCGTGATCGGAGGTAAAGCTCTCGAACCCGACCAATTCTCTCCAGAATTGGTCGACATGCTTAACTTCCAAGGGCTCTTGGATACGTATCTCACCATAAAAGGGGATACATACCCCGAATTGGTGAAAGAGTTCTATTGTCACTTGGTGGCCGTCAAGCGAGGTGATAAATTGGAAATCACCGCCAAGGTCCGAGGCAAGGAAATCACACTTTCCGAAGGCCGCTTAGCTAAGCTCTTAAGACTGACCACCACAGGTGTGTCAGACTACGACCGAAAGGGGTGGATTGGTACCCGAAACCTGGGGTACAAGGACTACCTCGGATACCTACTTGGGGAGGAAGAAGGCTTCACCTTGGCCACTCGGCCAAACAGGAAATGGCTAACCGCAGAGCAAAAGATACTAGTCATGATTGTAACTGATAGTCTGTTGCCTACAAATAACAAGAGCAAAGATGTGGGAAGTTTGGAGTGTACTTTTGCTTACCTTCTAAAACACAAAATCAAGTTCAACCTACCGGCCCTCATGTTAAAACACATGGAGTTTTGCAAGACTAGTAGCCGGCTTAGCCTACCTTACGGAATGATCCTGAGTTGGATCGTGGAAAAGAAGGGAGTGGACCTGAGCCACACGGAAGTCAAGCCCGCAAGCGGCATGGTTTTCAATGCCCAGAACCTCCGTCGCAATGATATCTACTACACCGAGGGAGGACAGTATATCACCCTCGAGGAGATTTGCCTTAAACCCGAGGAGGAGCGAAGAGAGTTGGTTGACCGATTGGACATCTCTAACAAAAAGCTTAAACGGTCAATGCAAGATTGTTGGGGACTAGAGGGAAACGAGGAACAGGAAGAGGATGACGAGCCTAATCCACCGGCACCCGCACAAACAGGAGGAAACCCAAGGGGACAAAACAAAGAGTCTGTCAACGAGCGCATCCTCGCACAGCTCACCCGGCAAAAGCAAATCATGGACGAAGGGTTCTCATCCCTAATCCACGCGACACGCGCTTTAGATCAGAGGGTGGCAGCGATCGAGACCATCCTGGGCACTCGCGGGGCATCCAGTTCAGGAGCAGGAAACCAAGGTAGACCCGAACTTCCCAATCACCACGTCACTTGAAATCCAGTCTACCCTAGCAAGGACAACACGTGGGGCCACGTTCCTAACCAGGAGGCCAAAATACGGAATGTCCAGGGGCGAAAGAATGGGTTAACGCACCGGCTTCGGGGATGAAGCCTCTTGTAAGGGGGGGAGAGTGTAACACCCCGTGTTACGGCCCCTAAAACCAATTAATCATTTAATTATTTACCCAAAAGAAAGGACTAAATTCCAATAATTAATTAGGAAAAGGCCCACCATAGTCCATGGGCCCTTATCCCTAAACCCAATCCCCTAGTCCAAGAAGGAATAGAACTAATAATCTCTCACCACACAAGAAGTTCCAAGAATCCCCCTAGGAGAAATCAAGAAAGAAGGAATCTTAAAGAAAGACCCTTCATAGCCAAGGAAATTAATTAAGGCTAAGAGGTAACCCATGTCTCAACAAAACCTACTTTCCTTGCTACAATTACCTTCCTTGGCCTCCTCTCTATACTTGTGTCTTGATGAATCGTTTATGATATTGATGATATGTTCTTGATGATTGAGAGATGATTTTATGTGTGATCTTGATGATCTTGATGATGATAAGAGGTTCTTGATGATTATGCGATGTTCTTGATGAATCTTGATGTTTTGGCAATTCAAAGATGAACTATGATTTTATTGATTTGAATATGATTAGAACCCTAGGTTAAAATTGGAAATTTCGTATTGTGTTGTTCTTGATATAATTGGGTGGGATTTCGCATGTTCGGGTGTTGATTATGTCTAGAAGTCATGATAGGAAACGTGCTATATGATTCTTGATTTTGATCCGTTAATTGTCTACGTGGTGTCATCAATTGTGTTTAAAAGTGTCTAAGCATGGTTTCGGGTTCCACAACGGATCCCGGGACGCCTATTTTGATAAAGAGTCAGTGGGGGGTAGGTGGGGGTAGGGGGACCCGCCACCTACCCGCTGCCCGAGAAGGGCGTCGCCGGCAGCGGGCAGCCGGCGGGCAGGCGACTGCCCGCCAGGCACCCGCTGCCCGGAGGCTTGTCGCCGGCGGGTGGTCCTCCACCCACCGGCTACCCGCTGGAAATTGTCCAACTCGGGACTCCGGCTTCCCCGTTTGATGTTTCCCCGACCCTCGTGGTGTCCCAACGGACTCCGTTTATCGTGCCTAAGTCTAGTTTGATGTTTCGGATACCGTTCGTAGGATAAATGAGTCTTATATACATCGCATGCTAGTTGAATTGGTATTCCGTTGGCCTAGGTGAAAGAAGTATGAACCCCTTAGGACCATTCCTAGTTTGTGGATGACCACGCATAGGTTTCTCAATACGTTTTCTTCCCTTTCCCGATGTGCTAATATGAGTTGCATGTGCTTGCTATGTGTTATGTGTGCATGATACCCCAATTTGGTTGCGATCAAATTGGTTATTCCTGAGCTGCGGTTCAGAAGCTGGCTGCGGTCAGAATTACACTCTTGGGCTGCGGTCCACCGTTTGGTTGCGATCAAACGTTTTACATGAGTTGCGGTTCATATTCCTGACTGCGGTCAGATGATCACTTTTGGGCTGCGGTCCACTGTTTGGTTGTGATCAAACGTTTTACATGAGCTGCGGTTCATATTCCTGGCTGCGGTCAGATGATCACTCTTGGGCTGCGGTCCACTGTTTGGTTGCGATCAAACATTATGATGAGTTGCGGTTCATCGGTCGGTTGCGATCGACCCCTTCCTATTGCGATACGGGGCAGGGTGCTGCGGGGCCGTGTCAGAGCTATATGCGCTGACCCTCATGTATGGGCATGCGATTGATCTTGTGGCGCCACCAAAGTGTGCTTGTGTGTGATGTGATACGAATTGGGATGATGATATGAATGAGATGAAGTGAATCTGTGACCATAAGATATATGCTAGTATCCTTATATGCTTGATTATAACCGTTGAATGTGCTTATCCTATCTGTCGAGTCTATTCTTGGTTTTAAAACTAGTGTCTCTTAAGTATATATTTTCCTGCTTCAAAATGGTTTTCATATATCTATACATATCTATCTATAATGTATTTCAACGCGTTGGAGTGGGTTACCAGCATCTCTCGCTGAACAGATATATTTGGCTTTCAGGCACAGTGGAGTAAACACTGGAGCGCGCTAGAGATTTAGAGCGTAGAGTAGATAGTTTCCCTTTCGGCCTGCGTGCCATGCTTATGTATTTACATTACTGAGGATATTAGTTAGTTAGCCTGTGCACCTGAGCTCTCTAGCTCAGGTGTGGCATAGCACCCCGTACTCTACTATATTGTGTTTTGGGATTTAATGAGAATATACCTTTATTATATAAGTCTCAAAAGTTTTAAAATGTCGGGGTGTTACACCGTGCATCCATTCCATACAAGTTCTGGGATTTTGCCTTTGAAACTGTAGTTTATTTAATCAACAAAATGCCATATGTTGTGTTAAATAACTACATTCCTTATTTAAAGTTGCATAACTCACATCCGTCCTATTCTTTTCTCCACGTCTTTGGGTATCTTTGTTATCCGTATCTTAGACCATACAATTGTCACAAAATGTCATATCGGTCATCTCCATGTGTCTTTCTAGAATATCCTGAGTCGTTTCGGGGGTATAGGTACATGGACTTACACACTAACAAGATTTATGTGTTCAGGCATCTGAGATTTGATGAGACAATGTATCCCTTTGCTACTAAAAATACCTTGCCGGCATCTCAACCAATACAGATAAATCCATGGGCTGAATCGGCTCTTTATCCTACCGCCACCGTCACTGCCCCGCCTAGCCAGCCTCATGGCAGTGTTGACATCGCACCCAGCGGCGATATTGCCGCACTGCCTTCACCGCAACAGCCTCCATCCAACTAGCCTGTCTGCCCGAGCACGAGCCAAACGACCAGCCTGTCCAGCAGGCTTTATGGCCTCATGGCAGGCCTCGGGGAAAATCCATGAAGTCCACCACCCAAACTTACGCGATGATCACTCGTAGTCAGTCTCAGGCTCCTCCATCAACTTTAACAGTTCAGGTTTGCCATACGGATCCCACTTGTTACATTTAGGCGATTAAGCATTCAAAATGGCGTGAAGCTGTGGATCAAGAGTTTAATGCTCTTCTTCAAAATCAAACATGGTGTCTTGTACCCTCACAGGTAGGTATGAATATTATTGAGTGTAAGTGGGTCTTTCGTACAAAACAAAAGGCCGATAGCTCCATTGAAAGACATAAAGCGAAACTAGTAGCAAAGGGGTTCAATTAGGCACTTGGACAAGATTTCTTTGATACTTTCAGTCCAGGGGTCAAACCAACCACTGTCAGGTTACTTCTTTCTCTAGCTTTATCATCTGGGTGGACCATTAAGCAACTTAATTAATTGATGTTCATAAAGCCTTCTTGTATGAAAATATGTCTGAAATTGTGTATAAGAAGCAACCACCTGGTTATGTTGATGTTCAGTATCCAAATCATGTTTGCTTACTAAAAACGTTTCTTTACGGATTAAAACAAGCACCTAGGGCTTGGTTTAATCATTTGCACACTTTTTTACTATCCGTTGGTTTTGAGGCGTCAACAACGGATGTGTCCTTGTTTTATTGCTCAAAAGGATATGATTGTGTATACCTGCTAGTTTATGTGGATGATATACTTATGATGGGGAGTGATCAGGATCTAGTTACTCAGTTAGTGTCAAAATTATCTACTGCATTTAAAATTAGAGATCTTGGTGAACCTGGATGATTTCTTGGAATTGAGACAATTAAATGCAATGATGAAATTTTGCTTTCACAACACAGATACATGAATGACATTCTAAAACGTGTTTGAATGGCAGAATATAAAGAGCTATCTACTCCTATTTCTGCTTCAAAAACCATGGTTTTTAATGCAAAATTGTACGATGATCCCGCACAGTACAGGAGTTTGGTTGGTGCATTACAGTATTTAACTATCACTCGTCCTGATCTTTTCTTTGCAGTCAATCAATTATGTCAACACATGCATGCTCCTACAGTTTCACATTGGGAGCAATTAAAGAGAGTTTTGAGGTATGTTAAGGGAACTGTCACTTTTGGTTTACAAATCAGAAAGTCATCTTCAAAGAAAATTCATGCCTTCTCTGATTTCGACAGGGCTGGCTGTCCGTAGGATCGAAAATCTACAAGTGGATTCGGTGTGTTGGCTCTAATCTTGTGTCTTGGGTCTATAAGAAACAAAGAACTGTTGTTAGATCTTCTACTGAGGCAAAATATAAAGCTCTAGCTGATGTTTATGTTGAGGTAATATGGATTGTTTAACTGCTGCGCGAGATTAAAGTACCAGGTATCTCTATTCCTTAATTATGGTGTGACAATCTTGGTGCTACATATATGTGTGCAAATCACATCTTCCATGCTCATACTAAGCACGTAGAGATAGACTACCACTTTGTTAGAGACAGTGTTGCTGCTGGAGATATTCAAGTCAACTTCATCTCAACAAAGGATCAATTTGCAAAGATATTTACTAAAGCCTTGCGTAGTACTAGATTTTCTTTTCTTAGGGACAAGCTACAAGTTACTAGTATACAATGTGCTTGAGGAGGAGTATTAGGACTAGTGTTAGGACTCTTTGTATTTGAGTCATATTATGACTCCCTATCCTAGTCTTCCTGTAATTCCCCTTGTATATATATTCCGATGTACAATTATAATAACAGTTCATTCAATACAGTTTCTTAGAGTTCTCATCCTCATTATATTCGTAACCACTTGAATATTCTACCACTAAAATAACTACTATAAATACTAAGCTATTTGTTAGGTTCTTAGAGTTCTCATCCTCATTATATTCGTAACCACTTGAATATTCTACCACTAAAATAACTACTATAAATACTAAGCTATTTGTTAGGTTGTAACCTGAAAAAGGAAAGAACAATTTGAATTGAATACTATTTTTAGCTTTGAAGGCCACAAGCCTCTCAAAGCTCTTCCTTCTATGTATTAGATTATTCCATTGCTTTTACATACATAAATCTATCCCAATTCGATCTATGATTATATGTTGGGGTTGTAGCATTTCGATTAACACTAACGCTCCCTTTTTTTTTCTTTCAATTAAGCTGTTCTACAATATTAGCATTCTGGAAGTTTGAAAACCAAGTGTTAGTAGAGAGGCACCTGTCATTAAAATATAAAAAAACCAACCCCATTTGGAGATGCAGGTTAATACCAATCAGAAGAAGTTCAAAACCAAATGTTCTAAAAACTGTTCTGATTTGCATAAACCAAACTTTCAACACAAGGGAAAATGTAAATTAAAGGAACAAAAGCAAACTATATATACATATGAACCAAAGTAGTGCAACTTGTTGATTAGTCATTTCCTATTTTCTTCTCCCAAAAAAGTTTGAATCCCCAATCGCAAGAGCCTGATTGAGCATTTGGGAGAATATAAATCACGGTGACTTAATGACCTAACAAACAGGACCAAATGTTGGTGCACACAAGGGATCTGTCCACTTTGGACATAATACCCACACTGCCATGCCCGAAATTCTAACCTTAATTTCTTCTCCCAAATACTACCTACTGAACGAGTGAGCTAAGCCCGAGGGGCTCATTTCCTATTTTCTGGCTTTTGTGATCTACCAATATTAACAGCTTCACGAGTTACTAGCTTTATTCCCCTAACCCAAAGCTCAGCCATTTCAGTTCCACCTTCACATTCAAAATGAATCTCCTTGTTCTTTGTGGTCACCACTCTGAAAACCCCTGGAGCATCACCATCAAGCTTCTTCCTGCGGTTCCAACGAAACTTTGAACTCGGCCCTACTTCAGCCCCTTCACATATCACATTCCTCTTGCGTGACTTCCCCCACCTCAGCTCCCCCGAATCCCCCAACATTTTCACCATCTTCCTGTGAGGAGCCCCTCTCCCACCCTTTGTATGCTTCTTTACATATGCCCCTTCCAACACCACCTCCCGAGCAAACTCATCGACTATCATTTCTTCCACAAACCCACTACTGTTGCCATTATTATTGTTTCTGGTTAGTGATAGCGCGGTCTCAAACCTTGCGTTTTCAATGCCCAACCTAGCTCTGCATGAAAGTAGAAGCCTACACATGGCTATGTTGCCAGCCTTTGCAGCCAACATGAGTGGAGTATAGCCTTCGCGGTCGAGCTCATTCACATCACAACTACCTTTTCTTATCAAAGACTGAACTAAATCTAGGTTACCCCTTTGAACACCAAAGTGTAAAGCAAAGAATCCAGCAGCAAGTTCTGGGTTTGCCCCACTGCTCAAAAGCACCTCAACTGCTTTAGAGTTGCCACACAGGATGGCATGGTGGAGGATTGTCCTCCCAAAATGAGGGGTATTAGGAGAGATGTGGTGTTTCTGCAGCATTGCCTTTAGTATAGCCCCAGTGCCTTCAAAATACTCCACTGCACACCAAGTGATAGGGTAAGGCTCAGCTAGCCCAACTCCCACTCTAAACTCCTCTCCGGTTGTGACCTCCCAAAACCAAGCTCCTAGTCTCACATTACAGTCTGATCTTGCACCCCTCTGAAAATTATTGTAGTCATCAAATCATCAAAATCTTAATTAAGCCTGGTGTATGTATATGTTTTGATTCCCGCATCCATCTTAACACTAAATAAAAAGAAAGGGCAAATACTAATTCTAGTCTCATGCAAAATGACAGTTTTTGTCCACATGTTTAATTGGTTATAATTTTCATGGACAGCTATTGTTTTAGTGCCAAAATTCATCCTGTCTGTCACTACTATCTTTAGGACATGTCAGAATATGAAATTATAAGAGTATTTTCGTCGTTTTTATAATCTAATATCCTAATTCAAATATGAATAGAGGGATTTAATTCGTTCCTACGATTCCAATTCGGTTCTCCTCTTCATCCTTCTTACAAGAATTAGAAGGAGAAAAAGATAAGGAGGAGAAAGACGAATTGGGATCATCATAAGATTTAAATCTCCTCTATTCATGCTTAAAATGACATCTTAATTATGAAATGATAAAAATACCCTTAATAATTTCATACTCTAGAATGTTTTAAATAGAGGAATGACAGACATGATGAATTTTGTCATTAACACAATAGACGTTGATAAAAATTGATAGAATTAATTACCGAAATGGTTCCTTGACTATAGCGAAATTATCAATTTGGTCCTTGACTATTTTTTTGACCAATTAAGTCCCTCAAATTTAAAAATTTTAATCAATTTGGTCCTCCGTTTGTTTGACTGTTAGTCAACCGTTAACGTGGGACCAAATTGGTAATTTTGCTATAGTCAAGGGACCATTTCGGTAATTAACTTTAGGGGTGGACAATTCGGTTCGATTTTTCCAAACTGAACCGTACCGAACAACCGAACGGTATTAGATTCTTGTATACCGAACGGTTCGATAAAAAACCGAACCGAATTGTTCGGTAAAAAATCAAACCGAACCGAATACCGTTTGTTTTTTTTAAATAAATAAATAAATAATATAATAATAATAATAATAATAATAATAATAATAATAATAATAATAATAATAATAATAATAATAATAATAACAAAAGTAAATCAAATCGAACCGAATACCGTTCAGTATACAAGAATTCAATACCGTTCGGTTGTTCGGTACGGTTCGTTTCAAGAAAACTGAACCGAATTGCCCACCCCTAAAATTAATTACCCAAATGGTCCCTTGACTATAGCAAAATTATCAATTTGGTCCCAAGTTAACGGTTGACTAACGGTCAAACAAATTGAGGACCAAATTGGTTAAGATTTTTAAAGTTAAGGGACTTAATTGGTCAAAAAAATAGTCAAAGACCAAATCGGTAATTTTGCAATAGTCAAGGGACCATTTCGGTAATTAACTCAAATTGATAAGAATTAAATATGTAAGTCAAAGCTTTCATTTTGTTAATACTCAATGGAACCAAAATTGGAATTTGGTCAAATAAAAATGTACATAAATAATTACCTGTAGAAGAAGGTGGACGACAGATACTTGCCTATTAACAACTGCAGCAGCAAGTGCATTACAATTAACATTTGCATAAAGAGGTGGATTGGAAGACTGAAGTAGCACCCTAGCACTTGCGTTGACATCCACTCCAAACTGAATCATCAAAAACAAAGCAAATAATAAATAAAAATAAACATTAATTATTTTTTTGTCCTCTTGGACTCAAACCCGTGACATATATCACTACACCAAAAGTTATAACTAGTATTAAATGCACAACTTTATTTTTTTATATAATGCGACATTTTTAAAAGACATGGAGCAAGACTTGGCCTTTTAAGCCTCCGACTAACAATCTCCTATTTACCTGGTATTGGACTTGACCCTTCACGAGCCTCTGCCCAACACAATTGATTACACATCACTTATGGTTAGACCAATATAATATATATATATATATATATATATATATATATATATATATATATTGGTATGCAATGTATGATGACTGTATAACATACTTTGAAGTTGCGCTATTGGAACATCACAATTCACGCAGGCAACACAAGAGGGAACAAAAATAACTGCATGCGGTGATGCAGAACAAGTGGTCATGTTTTCTTTTAGCTATTTTGTTACTGAAGTCAAACAAAAGGTATCAACACAAGAAATTTTTTTTGGTCCTTAAAAGACTAAAGTCGTATTGCACTCCTTGACATCTTCTTTTCATGTGATTAACTCTAATACTAAATTGGAGTATGTGCATAATTTTAATTAAAAATCTAAGTTGATAGTTAGATTGCACATTTATAGTTATGTGGATGTTTGTCAATTAGAATTTAGTTGATAGATGATTGATTTAGCTGATAGGGATAGTTGATGGTTTTAGCTAGTTTGACAATATGATAATATTAACTAGTTAAAGAAAGGTGTTTGGTAAATTAGTTGTTGGGTAATATGGTTGTAAAATCCCAAAATAATAATAATCCTACGGAAAGATTAATATTATATGGGAAATCAGAAACTAGGAAGGAAAAGGTTGAGTGTTTGGGTGAAGGCTTTAGCACGAGTTCGAACACAAGGTTCTTTTCCTTAAAACCTTATTTGCTACCTCCCACAAGTGCTAGGAGCGTTGTAGCCTAGGTTTCCCAGGATAAAACGTGCTACGACTCTTTGTT